CTGGGCCTGAGATGCTGCATTTCTAACACGTGGTCAGAGGAGGTTGATGCTGCTGGTCTAGGGACCACACTTTGAGAAGCAAGCCTTTAAATCTTATTCAAAGATGTTCATGCCCTTCAATGAGAATTTTCTGAGCTTCTCCCACATGTCCAGCACCCACGAGGCACTCCTGAGGACTCAGTATGAGGCACCCAGCTGGGTGGCCCTGGGTTTTGAGAGCAAGTGCAGAAGGCTGTGTCAGATGGCAGACAGCGTGGTGAAGGTGTGGCGCAGTGGCATCATAAATGTGATAATTCTCAAGATTCTTGAAAAGCTAACTCATTCTGCCGTGGCAACCAGCAATCAGAGGTGTCAGGCGATAGATTAAAACTTGACACCTAATTTGATTGGAGAGGAACTGAAGATAACAAGTACTTTATATTTGTGAAGCACCTTATTTTTCCATGGAGCTCCAAGCATGCTGCCTACTCCCTCACCTGGGGAAGGGAGGGTGGAGGGGAGCTTTAATAACAGGCTGCAGGTTCTAAAGCCGTATTATTAAGTGAATGCTGGCCAGCTGTTCTCCATGCCCCTTCCTCCCACAACCTGAAAAGCAGCACAAGAATAAAGGGCTAAAATTGCCCCAGATTATACATAGCAAAGACTTACTCGTGGCAGAGGTTCTGTGGTTGGAACAGACTCTCAGGGGAGGTATGGGGCTCCCTGAAAAGGAAGGTCTTACCATCCCAGCTCAGCCATTTCTGGCCATGAAACTGTGGCCAGTCACACAATGAAGGAAGGAATCAGAGTCTCTGAAAGGTCCCTCCTGGCCCCCACATTCTACAAAGTATGACACTAGACTCTCTGGGGGCCACAGGATGGGTCAGAAGTGTTTGTGCATCAGAGGGACCCTAGAGAATCCTTCCAGCCCAGAGGGAACCAAAACCCTTTGGCTCAGAGAAGCACCTTGCTTTATGAGGTGGGAGCATCCTGTCCTGTGACTATTCTTCTTCCTCCTCACCCTCCCTCATCCTCCCCACCTGGACAGCTTAACCCTGCCCGCAGGCCTTCTGCAGAAGAGCCCCAAGCCGGGCCCAGACACACTCTGTTCTGTGCTGATACTCCTGCCCTTTTACATTTCCTACACACCTTATAGGAAATCAAAGCGGTTAGTCATTCCTGCCAACTCAGCATTCCCAACCCTCCCTACCTCCTTCTCATCTCTGCTGCTGGGACTGGCTTAACCAGTCCAATCTGAACAAGAAACTGGTTGAGCTGTAAGGGCCCCACATTTAGACCATGGGACACACCAGACATCTGAAGGCTTGGGGCCCGTATCCGACAGAGAAAATAGCATTTGGAATGAGCTTGAGTGGGCTGGTTTTTCCCCAAACCCAGATTTTTGGTCCTAGTGTCTGCATGTTGAACTTTTACTTTAGATCTTTTTGTCATTCCAGAGCACTATATTGTTAGATCTATAAGTCAAGGAAATGGAATATGACTGGTATCATTAAGCCTTTGAGCTGGGAAAAAAGGGGAAATTAATCCAATGCAGCCTCTTGTTATAGAGATGAGAAATCCTGAGATCCAGAGAGGAAGTGACTTGTCCAAAGGCACTCCGGCCTGTGAGACAGCACAGCCAGAACTAAAATCTAGGGCTTTGCCCCTGCGTTATACTTCTTTCTCATCACATGGCCCATGGTTGAAATCTGCTTCTGAGAAAGAGGTGTTCATTTCTTTTTCAGTCCTGCCAGCTCTGGTCTCAAAGCAGAACCATTAGTTCTTCAGCAGAAAGGGGTCAGGCCCACTTCCTTCTCCTTTTGTGGACTGTTGGCTAATTCTCATTCTGTGATCTTTGTCATTGGTGACAATGTGCAACACAGAGCAAAAAATAGCAGATTTGTTCCCCACATTCCAAGCTAAGCTTGAAGTGCTGGCAGTTTAAACGAACTACACAAATAAATCTTGTTTTGACTCATAGTCAAGGGGGTGGATAAATATGGAAACCCCCAAGATATAATTTTACAGTCATTTTTTTCTTAGCATAACTGCAAGCTTTAATGTGCTGAGAAATTTTTGTTCTGGCTCCAGAGAGATAGCAGCACCCTCCCAGTTAAGAGCAAATAGATGTACACACACACACACACACACACACACACACACACACACACACACTACAACCAACCAAACCCAACAGCTGCACATTCGGAGCTAAATGTCAGTCCGCTGCTTCAAATTGACAGCCTTGTTATTTAAAATCAGAGATGCATAATCTTTTGAATTCCAACTAGTCTGTCTTCCAACAAGCACAAGTTCACAGAAAGGCAACTAAAGTGATTGGAGGTGTAGAGAGGCTTTTGTATCTAAGTCAGAAGAGGGAAACCAGCTCTAGAGGCCTATTTCACAGCTCAGAGCAGAGAGGAGCGATTGGGGCGGGCCCCACAGGACAGCAGAGCCAGGTCTCCTACAGAGATTGTGTGCACGGCTAAGGAGCTTCAGTTCCTTCCGTCTGACCTGGCATGCCTATGGGACTTCACCAACATCTGTAGAAACATCTGCAGAGGTTGGGGGCCATAGATTTGTTCTCCAGAAGAGGTGAGCTTTGGACTTCATCAGGTGGATAATTATGAGCATCTTTGTGGCAAGCGATATATAGGCTGAAAACCTAGTTATGTGTACAAAAAGGGTGGAGTTTAGTCAGAGGTTAAAGTGAGAAAGGACCATGAGACACCTACCCCAGCCCCAGCCCCTCCTCGTGGGTGGCCCTGTGTCAGAGACTGACTTGGGGCTGGAGTGACGTCCACTGGCTGCCCACGGTAGCACACTCTCCAGTGTTATGTGTGGTCTCACTTATTTTTGCCACATCTTTGGAGAGAAACCAAATTCTCCTTTATCAGTGGCAGGCCAGGGCCCCTGAGGGGGAGTGAGTTGTGCAGAATGTCTGTGTAACAGGGACAATGCAAAGAGCAGAAGGCACGGCTCCAGATGGGGAACTTTTGCCCCTTCTAAGCTCTTCTATGTTTATATCCAGGAATTTCTTTTAAAAAGAAGACTGTCCCTTCTTTTCCCAAGGGGGACACTGCTGTGTGTGGTGCACAGGGCTCAGATGTCAGGCTTAGGACTGTTTCCTGCCTCATCAGATCCCCTCCTTCAGTACCCAGCATGCCCTTTAAAAGGGAGGAAACTGAGGCCACCATTCATACCAGATTGGGTAGGACTCCTGCCCTGGGATTTCAAGTCTGATGCTCATATTTTCAGAGTTTCCATGACAAGAAATCCCACAAGCCTTAGTCATTCCTCACACATAACTCTACAGATATCTCTCCTGTGCTCCAAGCAGCAAGCCCTTTGGCCCATCTCCTGCCTTCCTCCTCTTTTCTTCCTTTTCTGTATAAAACTCTTTGCCCAGGTTTCTGCGGCACAGCACAGTCAGAGAATGGGGACATTCCCATTAGCGACACAGCATTCTTTATATGCCATAAGTGGGGTTTTCACTTGCAAATTATTAAATGCAGTCCACTTAACACATCCACTACAGTGCACATAATTGAATCTATTTTGATGGGTCAGACGACAATGTAAGATCTTGTGCCTTTGCGTCACCATTACCAACATTATTTACCATCTTACCATGGATATGTGGACACTGCTTTTAGAGAGTTCTAGTTAATGAGACACTAAATAGCAGAGAGTTTGTTGGAAATCAGAATTTAGAGGAAAACATTAGAGAATTGTGGGCCCATATACTAAAGGGCCCTCATAACTCAGTGACTTTGATGTTGAATGTTCTCTTGGACTCTCTGAGCCTCAAAATTCTCATTGAATAAATTTTTTCCTGACTGAACAGCAATAAAATTGAATGTATAGTTTAAGGAATCATTGAGGCTTAATTTCAAATGTAATTGCATTTAAACTTAAAATAGTTGTACCTATTGGATGGGCTTTGGACATTTATTTGGAATGGCAATGTAAAATAGCTGAATTATTGGCAAAACTATAACTGTTAGCTTCTTTTCCCACAGCCCCCTCTCTTTAGTACATTTAGCTACAATGAATAACTATTCTCTACCAAATTATGATCAAAAGCCCCTAATTAAATATCTCACAAGTAAAAATAACAACCTGCTTAAATGTGAACATTACTCTATGTCCTTACTAAATGGCTGTGTGGCCTGGGCCCTTTGCCCTCAGGAGAGGGACAGACGGTGCACCCACTTCACAAGGAGGATGCTGAGGCACAGGGAGTCTGGGTGCACAGGCCCCTGCTGGTTTGCCGCAGCCGCAGGAGGAGTAAATAGGGTTGACCCCTTGAATAATCCTGTCACTTCTGGCCCAAGAGGTGCTATGGCCACACAGTTCTTCCCACGCAGGGCTTCCTTCAGACCCAGAGTACCCAATGACAAGGCTCTGCAGGCCCACGTGGTGACCTCCATGAGACACACAACAGTCATTTTCCCAGCACTGTGGACCCAATAGCATGAATCAGATTTGGACCCAACCCTCAGAGAGCTTACGTGCCCAATATGAAATGCCTGGAGATGCCACTTCTAACCCAGCAACCCCTAGAACAGCCCCAAACCACATTGCATTAATTCCTTTGGTTCATTCTTGTTAAGACTAAGTCGGGTCATGTAGGAATGGCCTCAGGGGGGTGTGAGCCCTGGAGAAGGAAACATAGTTCAAATGTGCCCTCATCCTGATACCCACTCCCAGCACATCCAGGGGGTCCGTGTGTTCTGTCCAGCATCCAAGGAGAGTGGCAAGGGGGAGGTCACTGCACTGACAGGGACTGGGGGTACCCAGAGGCACCCAGAGGGGGGCCTCGGGCACCTGGCAGAAGCCTTGTAAGCAGAGGCTGCCACAGAAGGTGGGTCTCAACTGTCAGGATGCCTCTGTTGTCACCTGGCCTATTGCAGCAGGAGGGCATTCGCAGCCGGATGTGTCTTTCCATCCAGCTTCCCAAGCCTGCCCCCTGGTTCTCCTTATGGATGCTTCTCTGAGTGGGGATGTCTGTTCCGCAGGAAGCTGTCGGGGACCGTATTCCTGTACTTCTGCTGGGCAATAAAATCGACAACGAGAAAGAGCGGGAAGTTCCCCGGGGCCTTGGAGAACAGCTGGCCAAGGTAAGAGCAGGCATTCCCATCTCTATGGACAGGGTGGCACCCAAGGCAGTTGGGCATGTGCCCCAGAGCCTTGGGGGGAGCCTTCCCTGGAAGCCCGCTGGGAAGGAAGCGAGTGGGCAAGATAGGCGTCCAGCTCCTGTGCATGTGGAACTTTCCATGGGAGCCTCAGATTGTAAGTGGGAGTTGGCCAGGGATGACTAAGGTGTGGGGAATTTTCCCAAATTCTTTCCCTCAGAAGTCAGAATTAGAAATTCTTAGATAGTGAGAAGTTGGTTATTTTAGTCCCTATCTGATGCTCGAATCCCATCATCTGTGTTTCCACTTGACCGCCTCCCGGGATGGAACACTCACGCCAAGGCTGGTCCTTCTTTGGACAGCTCTGTGGAGAGTGCATCCTGTCTGTCAGATTGAGCCTCAAAGCTGTGAACTCGAGACAAACGCAGGGCACACACTGGATGGCCTGCCGTCAAACAAGCAGCGGCCCGCTTGCCCAGGCCCAGAACCAACAAGGCTGGACGGAAATCAGGCAGCAAAACACACCGTGCTCTCCCGGGGCTGCTCCAGCCCTCAGCGTAGTTTTCGGGGCACCATGTGTCCGGAAAGATGGGGGTGCTGTTCGGCCAAGGATTCATCATTTTAGTGTGCTCGAGCTAAACAGAGGCTCGTGGCTTAGAGGCTGGGAAAACGGGCACAGATGGTAAGATCCAAGGAAAAAGAAGGAAGAAGGGCCCGGTATGTGTTCCTATGGAGGGTCACCAAGCAGCTACATCCACAAGCCCACATCCTCAATTCCAAAATCCAAAAAGCTTTGAAAAGAAAGAGCGGTTTTGACTTCATCTGGCAGAAGAATCTGACCAGAACTGACATGCAGCTATTTATGGTCTCTGTGTGTGTGCCACACTCTAAATGAATATTCAAATGTTTCACTGAAGAAATATTAATATGCTTGGTTACAGGATGCTGTCCAGACCCACTGAGGGTACTATTTGATATCGTGTATACATGCATTATCTTTCTGAAACTCAAAATTTCTGGATTCTAAAATACAACTGGATCCAAGGATTTTGATTAAGGAACTGCAAGACCTATATTTTTATCGTCCCGTTTTCTTTTTCTTTCTTTTCTTTTCTTTTTTTTTTTTTTTTGTCAGTGAAACAAAAACAGGCTCAGAGAAATTAAGTGATTTATTCAAAGTATCACACAGGTTCTCAGTGGTGGGGTCTGTACTTGAGGCTGGAAGACAAACTGTGTCTTCCAATTTCAGGCCCAGTGCACATCCCCCACCTCCCCATGAAACCTTCGTTCTTCACAGACTGGCCAGGAGTCAGGGTCTGACTGAGGCGGGAGGGGCAGGGGTGAAGAGGGTGGAGGACAGAGCTGGGTCCGTGGGGTGTGCAGCAGGAAAGCTGAATTGGAAACAAGCATTTGCAGAGCCTCTTGATCTGCAGCCACAAAAGAAGTGTCCTCACTCCACTGCCTGCATCCCCACAGGACATCAGCCTCCAGGGCTCAGTGCCATTAGCACTGTCATGAGGAAGCAGGACAGCTATAAATGGGAGTGATAAATAGAAAAATGATGAGCCTTGGCCAAGGCCCCACTGTGCTGTGTGTGCAGCCCAGCCTCTGCCTGGTGAAGGGATGGACAGCTGTCCATGCACCAGGGCTCACAGCCACGCTGGAGTGCTAATTAACTGTGTGAAGGAGGATTCCTATGGGAGCCCTCAGTGACATCTGCCCCTAGGCCATGGCATGCCTGTGTCCTGGGAAAGGTATGCTGCTGGGAGCCCTGCCATTAACTCAAGACAGGGCTGGAGCAGGCAGGCCACTTATACCTTCTCTAGCCTCAGTCTTCCTGACCATGAAGTGGGAAGAAGGTTGCCCATCCTGGCCTCTGAGTCTTTGCCTGTCTGCATCACAGGCTGGTGTGAAAAGGAAATGAGTACACGCTCTACCAGAGAGTAATTAGAGGGAGTGTGAAGCACTAAGGCAGCTTATGCTTTTGTTGCTTCACAGTTGTTACAACTCACCTGGGAAATGGTAACGGAACTTCCCTGAGAAGACAGAAATCAACCTCTTAGAGAATGGCGAGGGCTGGAGGAATTAAAGGGGACTTGGAGAGGAAGCAGGGTTGTGGGTAGGTGCAGACAGGTGCTCTCCCCTACCCCACAGTTCCCTCCAGCTCCCCTCCTTTTATCCCCTCTGTTTTATGATTCTAGGAGAACAATCTGATCTTCTATGAATGCAGTGCCTATTCTGGTCACAACACCAAAGAGTCCCTGCTCCATTTGGCCAGGTAGAGGACAGCTCCGCGGATGGGATGGGATGGGATGGGATGATGTGACTGCTTTGCGGGTCTGACAGGGACCACTGCATTCACCACCACCACCCACGCCCCCAC